ATTTATATTAATTGGTTTGACCTATCCAAAACCACGTCTAATTAATCATTGACTACTTGCCAAGAATTCTATTAATAGACATATGGTAAACATTATTCCATATTGTTACCAAGTATTCTTTTTTTATAAGCGTCTTCCGGTTCAAACAAATGTTTTTTTTTTCACTTTTGACAATTATAAAAGTATTATTTCTTAGTAAAAACTCTTTAGGCTTTCAACAATTTTACGTAAAAATGCTTAAGGGTAAACTCACAAGGTTATGTACTAATTAATAGATGGATGGTAAACAATATCAGAGTATTTACTAAGGCACAAAGAATATATAATAAAAACATTTCGAATGTATTTAATTTGACTAAGGTTTATTGTTTCTTCTAAAGTTCTTCTATGCATTTGATTTTCTAGTATTTATATAGACAGTTATGAAAATGTCTACTAAGGAGTAATTCTTGTTGAATTTGAATGGTTCACCAACTAGTATTGTATGAGGTGATAAAACATACTCTTATTTCCTTTTATTAGTATTTATTATTCCCACTTTATTTGCTTTATGCATGTCTTTTGATACAAAGTAAGTGATCTTTTAGTGTTTGTCTTGTTCGCAAATGGGCGAAACACTTAATTCTTCCTTGATAGCTTCTAAGCTTATCTTTATACGCTTGTATTTCTTAGTAGGTCAACCATCTTGTAAGACAAAGCGAAAGAGTCATTTGGACATACTCATCTTTGACACAGTCCTAGTACTGAAGGTTGCCGAAAATTTGTTTAAGCCAATCAGTAACAAGGATCAGTCTTTTCAAATAAAATGTTCTTTTATAATATATATATATATAAGGAGAGTTCAAACGACACGGTGTAACTTTTACTAAGTGTTACACCGCTCAATAACTTTAAATTAAATGTGAATTTTGTAAATCCAACCGTTAGATTGAAAGTTATTACTCTTAGATCATATATACAAAATTTTATATTAATCCAAGATGATTTGATACTTCATTCTTATAAAATAAAATTGACGTAATATATTTATTTCAAAATATACTAAAATATGAACACTTTGATTACTCTCAAGTTGTTGTTTAATTTTAACAAAATTTGATATTTACATATAAAGTGATATGAATTTTCAATCTAACGGTTAAATTTACAAAATTCTTATTTAATTTAAAGTTATTGAGCGGTGTAACACTTAGTAAAAGTTACACCGGTGTCGTTTGAACCCTCCTCTATATATATATATATATTTATTTATTTATTTATTCTATCATTGAAATCTAAATTAATTGATAATCCTAACCCATAAGATAAGAATAAAGATAAAATACAACATCTATCACCTATGCAAGACAAAAATAAAGTGATTTTACGTAAAGCTATACTTAATGCTTCTTAATTCACCACTTATTCTAATGTATAAAGTTAACGCATTAAGTTTTAATAATTTTGTTCCACAAGCCTGTCATCAAACAAGTTTCAGAAGCCAAAAATCATTCTAATTTTGGATCTCACCTTGTACAGCATATTAAAGATGAAGGATTGAACAAACATATGGTGAAGAGTTATTGTCTGGCACAAATAAACACGATAGTTATAATGGAAGATTTTCACAATCATCAATGTTCAGTGTAAGAATGTTACACAAACCTGTTGTCAAGGATCCACTACAAATTCCAAATAAAGTGAAGGTAAAGTAACTAAGTATGTTTTGCTCTTTATACTGCACTATTCTTAAAATGCCACTAACTCTAACCAAGGTTGGTTAGACCACCCTGCAGGAAGAGAACATATCATATATAATTATGCAAAACACTATGACTAAATTCCAAGAGAAAGGATATCATAACATTGCTATATCTTAACTATCATTCGTTTAAATTGTTTCGGTATCTCTTCTGATATTGTAACATTGCTAATTACTAAATAAATATGAAGAGTGAACTGCAATAAAAAGCAAGTCTCAATCCTACCCCACATCATTATTTTGTACAATTATGTGTTTGTTATTAATGCTGGTCGGCATTGTATAAAAGACCGACAATTTCGTCCTGTATGAGAACGATGAATATAGTTTATGACACAAATAAAGACCAGAGGCCTGCATCGATATCATTTTTCAGTATATATACCAACAAAACTACAGATTTGAGGCATGCAATTGTTAAGTGATGTGCCTTAATTAACTACTGCAGAAGGGATACAACATATCAAGGGAAAATCCACTTCGATAAGAGGATATCATTTCTATTATATTCTTTACCTTATCCTCTCAGTATCCTCTGCTTAACTGGCACTAACCTGGCTTTTATCTTTTTAACACACTCAACATTATCGCAATTGACCTTCATATATTTTTATAAGGTGCACTTTCACATATTTTTTAGTAACCACAAAGTATTTTCCACTTAAAAACAGTATTGACAAGTTATTGTTTTTTGTTTCCTTCTGAGATGTCCAATGGTAAGGTTTTGAATCGATTAATATATTGGGCATTTCAGCTTTTTGCATATACCATTGATTCTCAGTCAGAATCTGTAATAAAGCTACTTTGAGCATCGAAGTGGAAACGATAATGTTTCTCTCACACCTTTACGAGTGAGACCAGTGAAAGTAAAAGAGAGAGATACGGTAGGAGCAGGAGTGCAGGACCGGTCCTGGGGGTAGTCCGAGGTGTGCCTCTAAGGCCCATTACTCAGAGGGGTCCAACTTTTTTTAAAAATTATATAATTTTGAGATAAAATTTTTATATTGCTTTTAAAAATAAAATTATCTCTTATATTTTTTTATATCTAAATATAAATTTGTGATATGATTTTGAACTCTTGTTATTTTTGTTATTACTTTTATTATATTTATTAAAGGATAAAATATGTTTTTGATTTTTATAAAATTTTTCAAGTTTGATTTTAATTCTTCAAATTTTTTCCTATTTTGATCCTTTTAATTTAAAGATGAATCATTTTTTATCTTCAAACTTATTTATGTAACTCTTTATAATAAACAATAATATAAAAATAAATTAAAAAAACATATAATGTATCTTTTTTATATTTGTTAATGTTGTATTGTGCATTTCATACAATAAAACATGTCATTTTAAATTAAATTATGCATCTATTTTTATGATATACATGTTTATATATATAAGAGTTCAAACCAACAAATCAGAGTGATATTGAACTCGATCTCCTTAAATAAGGTATTGGATAACTAATTAAGTTTTGCAATATATATTAGTCATTAATAAATTCGATAAATATCATATCACTAACATAGTTATAAAAAATATATATAAAGATTCATATTTATTATTTTGTCAATAGCTCATAAAATGTTAGGACAAACTCTGAATAGAAGAGAATAAAAAAAAGAGAGAAAAGTAAGAAAAATGTAATAAATAATGTTCTCTTATAGAAAAAGATAAATATGTTAAAAAAAAACCCGAGGAAAAAATAGATATGCAAAAGTAAAAAGCCATGTATATCCAATGAAAATGAACATCACACCTTTGAATTAGTTCGAAAATTATTATTCACCTAACTTAGATCCTCCTTCGGACCACCCAAATGGATAGTTTATCTCCTATAATTAATATGTTCATGTAATCTAAATTTTTCCTGGTATTGGAATCTCCTAAATAATATTTAAACACGAATGTTATCCTGAAGGAATCTACATTTTGCACATTACTTTTTTCAATATACATATCTCACATATCTCATAAATGAAAATGAAAAAAAATAGATATGCAAAAGTAAAAAGCCATGTATATCCAATGAAAATGAACATCACACCTTTGAATTAGTTCGAAAATTATTGTTCACCTAACTTAGATCCTCCTTCGGACCACCCAATAGGATAGTTTATCTCCTATAATTAATATGTTCATGTAATCTAAATTTTTCCTGGTATTGGAATCTCCTAAATAATATTTAAACACAAATGTTATCCTGAAGGAATCTACATTTTGCACATTACTTTTTTCAATATACATATCTCACATATCTCATAAATGAATCAGAGTAATAGTTTATTCACCCAAAAAAAAATGAGTAATAGTTTTGGCACAATTAATTGGTAAAAACCCAATAGATATGGACCAACTTGTGGTAGTGTCAGTGGCTATTACCCATTTGCTCTATCCTTCCCCAGTCCCCCTCCCTCGATCTTCCCCACAAGTCCTTAAATGTTGCTGGCATGGGAACCTTGTATCAATGATGAAATCTCTAAGTAAGAATTTTCTCCCTCCCTAATGATCCACTTTATATGTATCAAATTAAACCGCATTGAATTCACACAATTAAAATTATATTTCTTAATTTTTTTTTATAACGTATCATAAATAAATTTTGATGGTTTGAGCTTTTTTACACATAAAAAGACTTTTGGTGTATAAAAAAAGCTTTGTGTATATTTATTTTTGTTACGTTCATACTTCCACAAAGGCATTATGGTACACCACGGTAGAAGTGGTTCTACACGGCAAGAACTATGCGTGTGTTTGCTTCAGCTTTGAGACGTAAAAATTCACGTGAAAAACAATAAATTGAAGCTTTCACATAAATTATAAATTTGTTTGTAAACGTGAAGAGAGAAAGAAAAATTAATCAAAACTAAACATGCACTAAAAGACTCAAATATATGCCTCCGTCTTCCTCGTTATCAAATCATATGGCAAAGAAGAGAATAAATCTATTTTTTATTTTGTCCAAGTTATCTTCAGGCTGAGAGCGAGAGAATAATTCATCAAAGTACGGAGGCTAATCTTTGTAAACAAATACTTTTTCATAAATATAAATTGAATCAAACCTTTAATTACATATTTGAAAAACATAGTTTATCTATCCTTAAATATATATATATATAATTAACTTTAACACTGCATGACATTTTGACTGTTACTATTAATAATTTTTACGTAATAACTTTTTTTAACTATTAGAATTACAATAATAACGTTAAGATTTGAATTTAGAATCATGAACATATTGTCCCAACTTTATCACTGTGAGATAGCAAATCAAAATAAAAAAGGAAATACGTTATCTGTTGGGATCAAAGGGATTTGTTACAACGGACAAGGTCTAACAAAATATTCCTTCGACCTTTAACAGGAATCACATGCCACACTTCGGGTACCACACGAAGTCTTTTTATCAACTTTCTTTGTGCTTTTATTTTCATAAGTCATAACAGTAACATGATCCTATGTGAAAGGATCGTTTTTTTATTTCCATTATAAATGGTTATTTCATACTAGCAAAACTTAAACACACACAATGGATCTATCTTTTCTCCCTTGTCCTCCAATAATTGTCTTTCACCATAATACACCAAAATTAGTCTTGAAATTATGCATGATGGTGTGCATCTGGGCCTCCTGGACTCACTCGACTGAGTCGGTAGTCCTGACTTGTTGCGTTGCTATTTCTGAACCCAATGCGGTAAGAGACCTTAACACTTTTGCCCAATATTTTACTATCTGTCTTGGCGAGGCTTCTTCCTTCTGATCCTGGATAAAGGTAGTGCTTGATAGTACTAAGGAAGAGGGAGCTAGGGGGGAAATGAGAAGAAAATGGATCATGATTCCTCAGGGGGCGAGTCTCAGACAAGGAGAATGAAAGCAACAGGAGTAAAGTGCAGAAATAGAAGCTCAGTCTCGCCATTTTCCTTTCTAGATTTTGAAAAATGCTAGAGAGATTCGTTATATCCTAGTGAAGAGGTAACATGTATATATAGGCATCAGGTGCTAGCAGTCTCATTATTTTATACTATAGTAATCCAAGTGGAAGTCCAAGGACATAAAAATTAAAAACATTTGTCTGAGTCTGACTTGGAATTTGTTTGTACGTATGTGAGCACTTCCTAGCCGTGAAAAGTTTTTATTGTCCCTATTGTACGTTAAATATAAATACTCTGTTTGGACAAATGTGCTAAAAAGATACATTTTGGATCTATAACATGTGGAGCCAAATTGTTATGTTCAATCCTCACCACATTATTCAACTCTACAGTGACAATCTGTTGCCTAATGAGTGTGTTGCTATGTCGTATACGAAAAAGAAAAGGGCTGCTCTTATCGAGTATTCCCATCTCACCGTGTTGCCTTTTGACTTTTGAAAGAGTCCTAACGTGAATGGCTAATGTGGCAAACTTATTTTGGAACTAATTAACATGCATGCTTGCTTAGCTGTTTAAATTGTCTCTTTGTGATGTTTATCATCTAGACTAGAGATAATAACATGCATGCTTGCCGATTTACTTATTTTGGTTTTCATTTTTAAACGTAATTTTTTCTTCTCTTTCCACATTCACATGTAAATTTACGTGGAAGCTCTTATTCATTATTTCCGGTTAAACGTGATTTTTCACGTCTCAACTCTAATGCAAACACACGCTTTGTTGAGTGAATGATGGGATTAACCCCATGCTAAAAGAATTCATGGGTTAATTTCTGATTGTGAATCATAGCTATGACCTACTGCTCGATAACTTAAAAGCGATTTAGGTTATTAGATCATGTCTGGTAGATTCTTTCTCCCTTTTCAGCAGTTGGACTGACCATGTCTAAGGAATAAAATCACAGATGATTCTGGATTATCAAGTATAGCCTATGAATAATATAACAGAATTTAGGTTACAATTCGTTTTTCTTTTAATTTGGCCACTCATGGTGCAGTAGAGTCCAAATTTTAGCTTTTGAACATACAAACAGTTGATGAACCTCATCGTTGGTTCTCAAGACCAAAAGTCTGACTAGAATTTTCAAAGATATGCAAAGGCTTTGGTTGAAAAAGCTAGTTTCTTTCTTTTTTTTTTTTTTTTTGTCCTGTGAGTAGTTAATAACTAATAAGTTAGTTGAGTTAATCAACGGATAGGCAGGATGACAATTAAGGGTCAAAATGGACTTGAGTGCTTCACAATATACTTTATACAAACTTAAAAATTTAGTAGACCAAACAAATGAGAAATTTTTAATAATTTCTTCTTTTAAGGAAAGCAAAGGTTAGTCAAGTTCAGACAACACTGAAGGAATACATGTACTCGGTCCTTAAATTCGGATGATTACTAATACCCTGACAAATTTTATTGTGCAAAATAAGCTATACAGCAAAGATCTTTATGTATACATACCTTCGAATGCCACAATTTGCAGCCGATCAAGTTTGAATCTCCTTAAACATCAACTGGGAAGCAAGTTTCTGAACCTTCCGAATGTTCACAAATGTCAAGGAAATAACCAGCATAAAGGTCTATAATTAAATGACTTCGAGGAAATGAACAAAAAAGGAATGGGAGGATATTTCTTCTTCATAAATGGGATGATTAAGCATCAGCAAGTTATTGTCGTTCACAATGGCTCGAATTAATAATTCTTTTGCTTCCTCGTGCTTCTTTTTCAGCATGTTACAAATCTGCTAGAAATCGTATTTAAAAAGAAATTCACCATTAAAAATGATATAAATATATTCAATTAAAAAATAATTGCAACTAGGAAGTGTATAAAATTACCATTTAATTTATAGAAAGGAAATAATTTGGTTTTCTTGAATAAAAAATTAAACACAAGAACAGTGAGTTTAGGAACAAGAAATGGCTCTATAAATGAAGATATAAATATCTTTCCTCGTATGCAGCTTGATCAGCCTCAGGCCCTCAGCCCTCAGGTCAACACAGTCATTTGTCCTAATAACATGTATGCTCACAAATTCTAAAATGCAAGATATTACGTGCTGTTTTACTTGGGGGAAACAAAAACTATTTTTCTATTTTTACACACAGATCTGAATTTTATGGCCCAAAAAATTTGGTATCCAGATTCCAAAATGGGGGCTTGTTTAGTGAGAGTGAGAGAAGTTAATCTTAGTCATACAATCATAGATGAATGGTTAAGATTGTTATAGATTATAATCAGTTTTAATCATAACAGTCTATTTTAATTATGCAGTTGGATTCATTCCTCCCACTCTCATTTCTCCGGTGATACGCTTCCTTCAAAATGTCTTGCATAGTGCTAAAATATAAAATAAAATCAACAGTGTCACAGTAACTAATGTGAGGATAGGGTTATTTTGATGGAACTATAATTGAAAGCAAGGGAGATGTTCATACATACACACATATATATATATATATATATTAGAGGGATCCGTTTATTTCAAAGGGAAGTCTACCTAGACTTACTCTGTTCAATAATTCATGCTCTATATCAAATTTCAACGATCTAACTGTTAAATTTAAAGTTCTTAATGCACAGATCAAATCTGAAAATTTTAAAAAAAAATTGAAAATCATTTGATACTTCATTTCATTAAATTCAAATTGATTAATTATTCGTCAATTTGAATTAATGAAACGAAGTATCAAATAATTTTTAATTATTTTTAAAAATTTGCAGATTTGATCGATTTATTAAGAACTTTAAATTCAACGGTTGAATCATTGTAATTTAATATAGAGTATAAGTTATTAAACGGAATAAGTTTAGGTAGACTTAATCATATATATATATATATAAACTGCTTGGACAAATGTCTGCATAGTGTAAATTTCTCCCACCCTTTAATTATTCTTTTTTGTTGTATTGTGCATTTTTCTTACCGAAATTGGGTTGCTTTTTTGTTTGTAAGCAACCATGCATAGCACTGGTGGAATGTTCTAGTGGTACTTTAAACACGGTGAATAGAAAGTGTCTACCAAGTAGCATAGTAGCATTTGACTTTTTTAGTTACCTAATAAAATCCTAATAAATCTGATAGCAGATGAGACATTTTAGGAATTTCAAATTGGATGTAACCCTATCTATATACATAAGCATTCTCTTTTATGAATTTTAATGACAATTTTCCTTCTTCAATTTTAATCTCTCAGTTTCACATTTCCTCTGTAAGTTCCAATATTTTTGTTTTATTTTACAAAAGATTTCCAACAGTAGCATACTGTTTCTTCAGTAGCCAGACTACACAACTTGAATTCTATGAAACTGTTTTCATATGTCTCAAGTCTCAAATCATACCAGATGGCAGAAGGCAACAATTACCGGAAAGCTATCTTCTGTTTTTCAATATGACGTCTATTGCTTAAATATATGTTAAGATAATTCTATAAGATATAGTTTAGATATACTAGTTTATCTTCTCCTATTTTCTAGTTTAGTTTCCTTAGTCAGTTTTATCTAAATCCCTAAATTTTAGGGATTGATTATGTTTTATGCCTATTTATTTTATTGTACCTATTCAGATTCAATAATAAGAAATTATTCATATTCAAGTTAGTACCAGAGCTCTCTGGTCCAGGAACCCTAATCCAGCCACCAACATCTAGGGTTTCTAGGGTTTTCAAGTTTTGTTCGCGGTTGTCGGAGTTGACACTGCCTGCACACTCAGAGGTCACCGATCGGCCTCTCCGTCGAGAGCCACCGTCATCCGTCGTCTCACGCGCTCTCACCGCGATTCTTGTTGAGGAAGCTTGCCGGTACGTGGGCTTCACGCGCCGCCCTCCCAGCCTCCGTTTGCGACGCGGTTCACTCCGTTGGACTCGCCGGCCCTCCCTCTTCTCGTTTAGACCCTTTTCAGGTTGTGGGTCACACTCTAGGTGGTCTGTTGGTGGTCGTTTGGTTGCGACCTCGGAGTTCCGTGGTCGTTTGGTTGTTGTCTCGGAGTTTCGTGGTCGTTTGGTTGCTGACTCAGAGTTCCGTGGTTGATTGGTTGCTACCTCGGTGTTCCATGGTTGATTGGTTGCTATTTCTGTGGCTTTTTGATTGAGGTTTTCTTTTGTTGTTTTTTCTCCTTTTTTTTCTCTTCATGGCTCAATCTCCAACTTCGGCTCTAGAGCTCAAGATTGAATCTGAGGGCAATCATCTAATCTCATTATCTACCGATGATTAAAAAGAGTATCTTCAACTGAAGGCAACGCAACAAGCCTCTTCCTCTGTCACTGTTGCTCACACTGGTAATTCTACCGTCTGTCTCTCTCACTCTACGTCTATTGGACCTTGGGTTTTGAACTCTGGTGCTTCTGATCACCTAACTGGTAATGTCTCCCTTTTCCATAGCCTATCATCACCTAAAACTCCACATCATATCACTCTTGCAGATGGGTCAAAAGTCCAAGCCACTGGTATTGGCCAAATATCACCTACCCCTTCACTACCATTAAAATCTGTTTTACTAGTTCCTGGATGTCCTTTTAATTTGATTTCTATAAGTAAGTTGACTCGGTCACTAAATTGTGCCATAACCTTCACTTCCGATTCTTTCTTGATACAGGACCGGAGTACGGGACAGACGATTGGAGTCGGATATGAATCACATGGTCTCTACTACCTTCAGTCTTCTACCTCTACCATATGTGCATCTGTTGAGTCTCCTAGTTTAATTCATCGTCGCCTGGGTCATCCAAGCTTGAATAAATTAAAGAAAATGGTACCTCATCTCTCACGCTTAGAATCCTTAGAGTGTGAGTCATGTCAATTAGGGAAGCATGTTAGAACTTCTTTTCCTAAGAGTATTAATAGTCGAGCTGTGTCTCCCTTTGACGTCATTCATTCTGATGTTTGGGGCCTTAGTCGAGTTCCTTCTCTTTTAGGGTATAGGTATTACGTCACCTTTATTGATGAGTTTTCTAGATGTACTTGGATATTTTTGATGAAAAATCGTTCTGAGTTATTCAATATTTTTCAAAGTTTCTATTCGGAGATCAAAACTCAATTTGGCAAAGTAATTCGGATTTTACGAAGTGACAATGCTAAAGAATATTTTTCAGATTGCTTCAAATCATTTATGACTTCCCATGGCATTCTACATCAATCTAGTTGCCCTCATACACCTCAACAAAATGGTGTAGCTGAGCGAAAACATAGACATATTGTGGACACTGCTCGTACTCTTTTATTGAATGCCAATGCATAACACTGGTATTAGTGAATTGTGAACCTGGGTTATTGGAGGTGTAAACGGAGTAAAAGCCACTGTGTACTTCGGCAGGAGCATCACCAAATATTTGTGGCGCATGAGCCAAGTCGAAATCCAAATCTTGAACCCATTCGGAGGCCTGAATCGTTCCTCTCCAAGCAACCACTATGTCCCTCCTCCCTAATGCTGCTTTGCCTTCATCAGTGGCAACAGCAACGTACCCTATCCAATTCGATTCCATGGCCCAAGGTTCCTTCGAAAACATGTTTAAGAAAAACGCTTTAGGGGCACTGGCTTTGGAAGTTGCATAGAGGAACTTGGTCACAGCATACTTGAAAGGATTCCCATGTTCCAAACCAACTTTGGAAAAGAAATCCTTCATAGCATATCGACTGTTACCAGCACACTTAGATGCTTTGTCTGAGTTGAAAGCATCGTATGTGGCTTGAGCGAGTTGTCCATAGTGTATCATGTAACGGCGAAGGTCAATGTCTAGAGGATCTAGCATACCTCTCCAGTTACTTTGCCCACTAAGATCTCTCCATTTTCTCTCTATGCTACCCATCTAATTCTCTCTCAAGCCTATAGGCACGATAAAGTTTGATGAGTAGGCTTGTTTTGTAACTCTTCTTTTGCATACTCTACATGTATATGAACTTATATAGACTTTAGGGTTTCTTTAAAAAAAGAAGACCTTGTTTTGCTGGTCTTCTTTTAATTCAATGTAACTAATGTACGTTCTTCCTTGTTAAATGAACTTTTGGTCTTTCTTAGTTAAAATAAATGATCAAACTCACTATTTGCGATGTTGGTAAGAATTTAGCACGAGTGGACTTGGTCTCTCAATGTATGGTTCATACATAAAATTGACTATTTGTTCAAGTTTTTCTTGTTACCACTTCAAATAAAAATAAAAGAGTATTCAAAGAACACAACTACAATTAGGTTCTATCTAGTTCAAAGAAGTAGTGGTAAGGAGAGGATAGAGATTTTAATGGAAGTGAGAGAAGAAAAAAAATTAGAAATACTGTTTGGTTAAGATGGAGAAACGATCGAGATATATTTATTTTAATGGAGGTAAGAGAAGATATGATTTTTATTTTATTTATGAGATTTCATAATTTAAAAATATTAAATAATTCTTATATTTTTAATATTTTTAAAAATATTTCTTTATATTAATAATTAAACAATCATTTAATCATTCACACTTCATTTATCAAAGTTTTATCTCTTTTTTCTTTTCAAAAATAGTACAATATGAACTTGTGTCAATTATTACTCATTAATTCCTTTACTAATTTAACTTAATTATAACCAATACTTAAATTTTTTCGTCCATAAGTATTGACATAGTTATTTTATATAAATTAAGAAATCTTTTGATTAATTTTTTTATTATAAACAATATAAAAAAATCATTTTCTAAAAATATTACAAAAGATATAAATTAGAAAGAGGTAATTAATATTATATTACAAAATTAACATAACACTCATATTGAGACTTATTTTTATGAGATAAAAATATTAAATATTATAAAACAAATACTTTAAAAATATAATATATTGAACTTCTTTTGATAAATTAAAAATACAGAAAAGATTAAAAACACTTAATTTTTTTACTTGTGTGATAATAATAATAATAATAATAATAATATATTATTATTATTATTATTATTATTAT